CTTAGCGGTGGCACTGACACTCTGGACCACAGTCTGTCTGAACTGCTTCGCCTGCCGGAGCCTGTACCTCTGCCCCGTGTTGCTGAAGGACCTGCCCAGGCTGCCTGCGCTTCTGCCCAGTCTGCGGGTGCCGCTCAGTCTTTTGCTCCCCCTAAGGTAAAAGGAGGTGGCGCTTGGTCCACTGCTGAGGAAAGACGCCAGCGCCTCCAGGCTTTGTGCAAGTGGTCGAACTTGCTCCGGCTTGCGCCCAAGCTTTTCTCGGAGCGCACTCTTGCTTCCCTGCCTGACACAGGAGACCAGGCAGTAGCTGAACATCTTGACTTGCTGTTCAGTCGTAAGAGTACCAACACCCTGCTGCTTCGAGTCCAACCGCTTATGCGGTTCGTGCTCTGGGCTCGGCGTGCTTGCCCAGACGAGTCGCCTAGTGAACAGTTTGTCTGGGTGCACTGCCGCTGGTTGCAGACCACCGCTGCGCCCAGCAGCATTGACATTTTTGTCAGCAGCCTGCATTTTGTGCACGGCACTTTGGGATTGGGAGTGCCCGTCGCTGACTTGCTGTCACCAAGGATTCGTGGTCTAGCCCACACTCACTTGCGCACTAAGGAACCCGGTCAACCAGGCGCCGCCGCTGTCAACAGCTCAGGTCAAGTGGCTGGAGTACCTGTCTGGCTCTGCCCCCGACGACTACGAGCGCCTGGTCGCAGCAACCTTGTGCTTCATGGTTTTCGCTAGGGCCAGGAGAAGCGACCTGGCCAGAGCAACTCACGTGCAGTTTGACCTGACCTCTGACGGCTCTGACGGCTTTGTGGAGTGCAAGGTGAAGAACCCTAAGCAGGTGAAAGCAGCTTCGCGTCGTAACCTTTTTCTGCCGCTGACAGCTGTTTACCGTGGCCTGGGGTCGGCCAGCTGGGGAGCGTTGTTCTTCGCTGCAAGGGCTCGTCTGGGGCTCCAGAACGATGGTGCTTTGGACCATCCTTTGATCCCAGCGCTGTCTTCAACGGGCAACTGGCTTCCTGACTGCCTGAGCAGTGCTGCGCTGACTACCTGGTTGCGAGCCCTTCTCAGTCGTGCACCTGACGCTGATTACGGTCTGATTCAGCAAGTCAGGAGCCACAGTTGCAAAGCCACCGCTCTGAGCTGGTGCTCCAAGATGGGTCTTGACGATCGCACCGTGACGTTGCTTGGGTACCACAGCCAGGGCAGGAACATGGCCAGCCTAGGCTACCGGCGCGACGTCCTGGCGGGTCCTCTGCGTGACCTTAGCAGAGTGATCCAGTCTGTGGCTTCTGGTTCTTTCTGCCCTGACGTTACAAGGAGTGGTCACTGGCAGGACACAACTAGTGTGTCTGACTCAGCTTCTGTGGTTTCGAGCCCCACTGACAGACTGAACCGTTCTGGTGACAGTCACCGCTCCGAGCCAGTGCCTGCTCCTGGCGGACCTGCT